TTGGCATCAACTGTCAAACATATCACCTCACCTCACCTCACCTCCCCCCCCATCTTCCCAGCCAGTAAACAGACCATTTTGCATCCCTTAATTTTAGCCGTGTTGACTTATGAGTGTTTGTTTTAAAATAATACTACAAAAAACAATGTTTTGTTTATTTTGGGAGATGGGCTGAGGTGCATCTGGGTAGACTGTCAGTCTTTTTAGTATTTTGTGTTTCTCTAGAGTATCAAACTAAATTATTTCATTGAAACAACGCTTCGACTTAGTGCGAATTCGGTTTAAAGCGACCTCTCTTGGAACGTATCTCGGCGTTATATCCACGTTCTACTGTAATGAGAAAGAATTCAACTTTGTGCCTCCCTATATTACAAAAAGTAGTGAGAGGCATACAGTATCTAATACTAATACAGATATAGGTCTATAGAATTACATTACAATAAATAAATGAAGGGTTCCTACCGGACACACTGCCATATGATCATAGTAATCCTTATGACCTCCCCAGTATCCAAAATGTGTTTGAAACCCTCGGTGCAAAGGGGTTAACTTTTCTTTGTAGAAACCCAAGTGCCACTTGCCGACAGCATGTGAGAAGTATCCTTGATGAGCAAGGTGCTGGGGTAGGAGGGAGATGAATGGGGAAAGACCCCATGGCTCGTTATCGAAGATAACTCTGTGCTGCATCCCTGAGATTATCAATGGCATCACATATTTAGTCATTCCTCAACTTTTAGGTTATATATGGAAAAAAGATATGTGAGAATCCATAAAAATAAGAGAAATATGTCAAAACGTAAATGTGAACCCTCCTATGACAAAGTTGACAACATGATGGTTAAAAAAAAATCATAAGTGCAATAGTATATATAAAGTTGCCCACAAGGATAATGTTCCACCCTTCAGCAGCCTTTTCAAACATGTGGCAATGTCGGAACCACTTTATGAATGAATCGATAATGTGAGAAGAGCAGTTGTTGGTAGTCTTCTCACATTACTGATTCATTTATAAGTGATTCCGATATTGCCATATGTTTGGAAAGGCTACCGAAGGGTAGAACATTATCCTTGTGGGTAACTGTACACCTTCTGTATATGACCAACAACTTATAATATGGATGCAAAGGACCTTGGAATAATGAATCTAAATATATTAGGTACATACACTACTGATGTCAGGATCCTGAGGCCATAAACACAAATTATCACATATATAAAACGTTTTCTTTGCTCACAAAACAACCATCACCACTCCAGTATACTGTAACCAAGTTTAAGTAAAACCGGACATCTTTTCAAAACCAATTATGAAATTCATATTGATTAAATGAGTACCTGTTCACTGTACACATCCACATTAAATAATATTATTTCAGTTTAATTCATAGTTCTGTAGTGATATTCATTGACTCCTGTGAGTGGGAGTTTTTAGCAGCTGCTACACGACAACCCTTGCCCTAAGGAGCACTCAAACTGTAATGCAGTGTTATCATTGGTAAATGTTTATATTGTATGAATTTTTACTAAACTGATTCAAATCAAGTTAAATCACACTTCTTTCTCCCCAAATATAGTAGACCCTCGATATAATGTGAGAGTGGGACAGAATTGTTGCACAATATTGTTTTGTGTTTATATTGTTCTATGTATTTCAGTAAGATACAGTATACAGTACAGCTTACAGGACTACAATCCCATAACATATGCCATAAAATTACATTACAAAAGCAAATTTTCTCACTTCAACATTAATTCCATCAATTCAAAACACATTTTAACAAATTATAGTTCACCTTGAGTCTCAATAACTGCTACCTGGAATACAATTGTTAAGACTCAAGGTGATCGATGCAACAACACAATGGGCTTGCAGATAATAAGCCCATCAGTCGTGCCAACAACTGAGGACAGGGCAGATATATGTGTTCATTAGATGACCTATGTCTTTGTTTCATAATAACATGTTTAATGGAACAAAACATTTTCAAATGCTTACCTAAGATATAAAACATAAATAAAATTTTTATGGGTTTATACGAAAGGCCACAGCCTTAAAGAACCAACCCATAAATACAGAAAATTGGCAGAGAAAACTTCTTAGTAGTAAGAGTACTGAACTACTGTAATAACCTGCCACAGAATGTTGTGAACTGTTGTAATAACCTGCCACAGAATGTTGTGAATTGTTGTAATAACCTGCCAGAGAATATTGTGAACTGTTATAACAACTACAACAGTTCAGACAAAAGAATGAGATAAATAAATCGCTAAGTAGCTACACAAAAACAAAAATGGTTTGTTTGTACATTAGCACATATTTTATGTCCAAAAAATAGCTCCTTCCACACACAAACCATCATCTTGGTGACACCACACAGTTCAGCCACGAAGTCAACCAGCTGACTCTGAGAAATGTGTGTGTGTGTGTGTGTGCAGTGACGTCACATTGGGGGAAGGACATGGGTGAGTCAGCGACGTAGTACAGTTCACTGCCTTCACACACACACACACACACACACACATATGCTCTTCATTTATCTTAAAGTTTTACAGGGGTGGATCCAGGAATATAAAAAAGGGGGTCCAATAAGTTGTGGGTGGGGGAACATGGCAAGCACAGCGAGCCCACCCAGCTGCGGAGTTTTGGGGATTTTGAAGCCATTTTGAAGTCCTTTTTACTATACAAAAATGTCTGAGCACAATACTGCATTGAAAAAAGGTGTAGGCTCCATGAAGGTTCCTCACTGCGCCCCCCAGACCCCATTGTGGGCCGTTTGACCTGTGCCCGGTAAACATACCATTTTGCATCCCTTAATTTTAGCCTGTGTTGATTTATGAGTGTTTGTTTTAACATAATACTACAAAAAACAATGTTTTGTTTATTCTAGGAGATGGGCTGAGGTGCATCTGGGAAGACTCTCAGTCTTTTTAGTATTTTGTGTTTCTCTCAAGTACCAAACTAAATTATTCCATTGAAACAACACTTCGATTTAGTGCGAATTTGGTTTAAAGCGACCTCTCTTGGAACCTATCTCGTGTTATATCGACGTAATACTGTATTTTGCTTTTCTATTTTCTTTTTGTGAATAACTGTTTTTACTGGTTAATCAAGTTTGTAAACAGTAAACGTGGTAAGTTCAGTAAGTCCAAATTGACATCTAGCATAATGTTACGGCACTAGGATCCAAACGTGACTGCGTTAGTTGTTCCGGTACTTGTAGGTTCCGTGTAAATAAGACAGGAAAGTGGACTCGTGGACGAATAATCGGACTCAATATTTTTTGTGTCTGTGAGAATTGTTTTAAATATAAATTGAGTGCAGATTTTAATAAACATTGTACAACGAAAGACAAAAGTCGTGTCGTGAAATCTGGTGAAAACATATGCCGAAGGGCTAAACTTTTGGTGCGATCTGCCTTGTGGTAGGGGGCTCTAATAAATGTTTCACGAGTTATATTTAATCTTCGGACAAAACCGCGACACGACTTTTGTCTTTGATTGTACCGCAATAAACTTCTGTGTTGATGAATTAAGAGTGTAATGCTAATAAACATTAAAGTATTAAAACCAATAACCTAAGTCTGTGCAGTTTACAATGAGGCTACAGTATCGACAGAAATTAGGTACCCTTATAGCTTGGGTTCCTGTAAAAACTTGGCCTAGGGATGGCAGAGGTTAAAATCTGCCCTGCACACAATAACAAAAATGCGGGTAATTTAGGGGGCTATGCTCTATTGAAATTGAAGTACTGTAGTGTATCCTGCTATATCGAGGGTCAACTGTACATATCATATTTGCTACAATTCTCCCCCAAATTATTGAACCCTACATTTTCTCTAGTATACTGAAGTGTTTGAAATTTAGGTATAGATACTGTACTGTGGTAAAAAATAAATAAATAAAATAAAATAAATTAATAAATTAAAAATTAAGTCTCATGAGATTGAACTTGCAATACAGGCATCCCTCAAAATATCATTAGGTTGTATCCTTGAAAACCAGATCATTAAGTGAGCCATCACACACCTAACATTTTTAAGCATGATGTCAATGGGGGTTACATTTCAGGAGTCAACGTGGGGGATTTCACCCAAATAGGCCCAAAAATCATGATATTAAAACACCTCAAAACCATAATATCACTACAGTATATTAAACCATTCACTAAGGGGACGTCATTTTTAATATATTATTTCGCTAACACCAAATGATTTTATTCAGCAAAGAGGGGATCCCATATTCAATGGTTAGCAGACTATCCCCCTCCTTCACTATGGGGACATCACTTTTTTTTTTTTATTTGGTGTATGCCAGACGATTTTATTTAACACAGAGGGAACCCCTTACACAAGTGGTTAAATCATCTCTCAACACTACCATACATGATATTAAAGCAGCTCATTACCACAATGCAATCAATACATCATAAATTTAGCATGAAAACTGCATGTTCCCCAATCATTTTAGAATTCACAGTCACTTATTTCAAGAATGATTGCCCATTGCAGTCCGTAAACACAGAAGTCACCAGAGCAAAGTAATAGCACATAATAGATGATTACGTGGCAAAAACAACAATAAAAAATTATTAATTTCCCTGCATATGGGTACGTGTTCAAGAAGAAAAATAAGAAAAATGCAGGCAGCAGCACTCAGACAGTTGTTCCCTTCATAGAGGACAACAAATGCGCTTCTGTTCACGACGGCTTTTTGGAATAACGAAGAAAAAGATGTGCACAAAGTTGCCATGGATTTCCTGACACAGCAATCATTAAGCCAAGAATGTCTAATCATATTGCGAAGAAAGGTTGTTGAGAAATAGAAACAGAAATTGCTAAATGAAGAATCTTAAGTTGGGACATCATACATCGAGGGATGCCTGTACCATATTCAACAAGTAAAACAGAACCTTTTAAATCCATTATAAACCTAGCTAAATCTTTAACATTATAAAGTAATAATTATCTACAGTTATGAATAGAAATCATACAACTTCTCACCCGTATGTATCGGATGTTTGCCAGTCAGGAGAGCACTTCTTGAGGGTGTACATATTGGTTGTACATAGTAATTATTCAAGATGACCCCTGAATAAGCTAGAGCATCAATATTGGGAGTTGGAATCTGGGTTGAACCATGAAAGCCCACGTCATTGAAGCCCTGAAAATAAAAATACGGTACAGTAGTTGATTCTCAGATAGTTAAAAAATTAATCACACAAAGCATATATACTCGTATTGTACAGTTTACTTTCGCTTTCTTTTTGTGACTACTGTTTAGTGCCTCAGATTACCAGAAAGCTGCCTATCTCGAACAGTGTAAGACCAGACTGGAAATTTTCCAGTACAGTAACTATATTCTGGCACAAGTAACACCAAAACACTGACAACTGAAAAAACGTAAATACAGTGATCCCTCGGTTAACGAACGCCTTGGTTAACGAAATTTCGGTGAACAAACTGCCTCCCATAAGATTCTTAAATTCGGTTAACGAACAAAAATTCGGTTAACGAATTTCTTACGAACCGACCTCAACATGTTTTCGCTTGCACATTAATCGGTTCTAAGGCTTAAATTCCTTACTATTTTAGTAAATATCAAGAAGTTTATACTATTCAATAATTTTAAAAGTTTAATATTCAATTTTAAAAGTTTAATATTCAATTTTTTAGTCATTTTAACAATTATTGAACATAATTGAAGGTAAAGAAACTATTTTCTGGCATGCCATCCAGCCTGTTAACACAGCAAACAGGCGTTAGTCTCTCTTTGTTTTCACTGGAGGTAACATCTTGCTTGAGACTCTCTTCAACTAAATGCTTTTTTTCTTTGTTTCCAAGCAAATTACTGGTCATTTTGAAATATATTTTACATATTGACAATATATAATGCAGTGCAGTGTTGATTTAAAGAAAATAATCTTGAAATACACCAAGAGAACTACAATTTTATGGGTGAAATGGTGCCATGGGGTGACTTCTCTTCCACCCCAATGCCTTCTCTTCTTCCTTCTCCTCCACCCCCATTCTAATTCCCATCATCATCATCATCATCATCCAGGAGCCTTCTACATACACACCTCAAAGTAAGTAAACTTTTCTACCATTTTTGTTGAATTTAGGCAATTTTCGGTGAGCTGGAACCAATTACCCAAAAACCCATTGAAACAATGGTTTCGGTTAACGAATTTTTCGGTTAACGAATTTTTCGGTTAACGAATTTTTCGGTTAACGAACAACCTGCTTGAACGGATTGTGTTCGTTAACCGAGGGACCACTGTAAGCTCAACGGTGAGGCTGTACACATATGTGTGTAGGATGAACAAAATAATCCGATCATAAATTATTGCATAGATAACTCGGAATTTCATATAACTCGGCACGGATATGGTCTCGGAGTGTATTATAGTATAACTTGGGAAATGCCGAAATATATAAAAATTACCTGGGTAAATCTCGGCATATCTGGCCACCTGCATCACCTACCATGCCTCTGTGTCACCTGCAATGCCTCTGTGTCACTACCATACCTCTGTGTCACCTACCATGCCTCTGTGTCACCTACTACAATGCTTTATCCTTTGCCTGCAGTGCTAGTAAGTGTTACTTTTTACATTTAATAATTACTGTACATGTACACATATATGGATCGATAATTTTTTTATTGCTGTATTTTTGTAGGAGGGGGAAGTGCCTCGATAAGTCGGAATTTGGGATAACTCGGCAAGGCCAGAGCTCCATATGTGCCGAGTTATCAAGGGTTTACTGTACTGTATATCTAAATACAGTAGAGTACCGGTACTTTAATGTCGCTTTTGGTGGATTTGTATTGAACAAAAATAATCTCATTATCTTCACCATCTTATGGCTATTTTCCACACTAATGTGGGTTTTGCCATGATTACCTATTGGCAGGTTTCCAGGCTGCACATTTTCTTGCAGTCCCTCTCATCAGGTTCTTATCTCTGAGATCATTTCTCACAACATCTACCCATGTCATTCTTGGCCTACTACAATACTAATTCTCCTTGCCAGCTGTGCCTGAAACAATCTGATGAGTCAAAAGTCCAGCCTCATGACAAAAACTGAGCTATATTACTTTGTGGAAAATTTAAGCACTAAACTGCTTCAAAGGCTAGTCATTCTTAGCATACTCAGACAGGTTAGATAAAAGTAAACAAATCTGTGAACTAAATAGAAAGTAAATCTGTGTGGAAAATCTCTTGTTATCCTCACCTGATATCTTAAACTAGGCAAAAAACTAAACTTTCTGAAGCAAAAAAAATGCATTGCAGTGGCAGAGAACTCCAGTATGACCATTGTCAGGATGAATAGCCAGTGTTCAGCGTAACAGCAGTTTGCTGCTTGTTTGGCGCCAACTCCAACAGACGGAGGTATGGTAGGCAGGCAGGGAGGGTGAGCACATGCCCTGGCTGATAGCAGGATAAGACAGCAGTGGACCTTGGCAGCCGAGTGTGAAGCGGTATAGATACCACGAGCAAAAGTGACCATTGACGGAGCAGCGACGGCAGGCTTGGTACCGATTGAGAGTGACGGAGGAGATTGGTGATAGAAAGTGAAGAGCAGCTGGGAGGTGATGGAAGGGATAGTGTCGATTGAAGGTGACAGTAGGAGGAGTAGTGATTAATAGTGACAGTGGGCAGAGCGGTAACAGAAAGAACAGTGGCAATGGCAGTTAACGGTTAGAGGAAAGGTGACGGAAGGGACAGGAAAATAGGGAGTAGTGACCAGCGTGGATGGATTTGGTAAAGAGAACAGAGTTGATGACTTGAATGTGAAGGACTCTGTCATACCATGTATATATGTTCTTGTTATTGGTTTGTTGGAAATTTTATTTTTAATTGAAAATACAGTTACTCCTGTTATTGACCTACCAGTACAGTACACAAGGCAAACCCTACACATAATCATATCTCTGACAACCATTCCCAATGGAAAAGTTGACGGTTCTGGGCAAACACAAAAAATCCACTCTGCCACATTTGTAGAGTGATATGGTACATCTAATTTGCAATAGAAGTTTAAAGTCCTGCTATAATAGTCGAGATAAGTTTATTTCTCTAGAAACAGGGCCACCATATGCAATGACGTCACTAGTTTCAAACTTATTGCTGCAGTCAGAGGTAGTAGAAAGGACTGCCTCTTCAGACCCCAAATGCCACGTTCAGGCAAGTTATAAGGGTGCTTTTTATGGTCTAAGTCATGGACATTTCGTAAGTGAAGAAAAGTGCCGTGAAGAATAGCTTCAAACATAGGTTGGATGGATATTTGAGCGATAGGGGTTGGGTGTAAATGGGACTGCCCAGTATGGGCCAATAGACCTGCTGCAGTTTTCTCCATTCTTATGTTCTTATGGATGTTTATACTATGAAATTTGTTGTATGGGCAGCTAATATCCATTGAATTAGTTTATGTGTTTAGTAATATTTATATATTCAATATAGCAATACTGTGTTGCACAGTAAAGCACAATTAATTATCTAATACTGTAATATTTATTTACAGAGCCGATTGGCCGAGAAGGTTGGACAACTACAGCTGGCTGCCTCCCGCTGGGAAGCTCGCCCCAACCAGTGATGTCACAACCAATCACAGAGCTTATCGCAGTCAAGTGACTTTTTAGCAACTTTAACCCTTATTTTTTACACTTTTCGGCCCAATTTATTTTAAAATATCATTACCATCGTAAATTTAAGCATTTTCTGTACCCATTGACCTGCCATCTTAAGAAACAATTCCGACCGTCAACTCGTCCATTGTAGTCAGGTAGGTATTGATATGTTTAGGCGAGTGAATCTGGATTAATGTAGCTTTGGGAGGGAGAAGCCATCATTAAACAAAATACTTATGAGCTGGAGTACGTACAACAGACGCATATAATTCTAATAAGTGAATAGTTGTGACTGAAATTTTGATTGTTGATGTGATCCCCGGTTACAAATCGGCAAGTGACATGAGTGATATACACAACTAGTGTGGCACATGACTCAATTAACTTTACTTTAAATGACAACTCATTCTTCAAAGGAGTCCTTTCTAGTTTCCTGGTACAGTAGCAAGAACTGCAATACATTCAGTCCATTACACAAAAACTTGGGTTCCCTTCATCGTTTGTTGATCATTGTTTTAAAAGGGCCAAAAAATCCTTTCATTCCACTCAAACTAGGCAAGTTCCTACATTTAAGAATATTTTGACTCTACCTTATCGCAATGAATTTGTCCCGTTAGTACAGTCCTTTAAATTATTAAACATAAATGTTGTTTTTAAGTATGACTCAACTATTACTAATATATTAATTAAGAACAGCCCAACTTTTGAATGTAAATGGAAATGCTTACTGCATTCCATATAGCAATTGTAATGGAAATTATGTAGGTCAGACTGCGAAAGCATTGCAACTCAGAATTAAACAGCACAAGTACAATATCAGAACAGCATCTGAAAGCAGTACACTGTTCGCTCATATAAGGAACAATAATCATCCCATAGATTGGGAAAACAGTTTAGAAGGGTATAAATCATCATCTGTCACACAAAGACTTCTGGTTGAAGCAAGTTTGATGAGAGAATTGAATTCTATAAACCTTAGTGATGGTCAATACAAAACCGATATGTTACACAAATTTATTTGTCAGTGGCCCAAGGTTAAAAATGCTTTGAAAGCATTCGAGGTAGATGTAGGATAGATGAATAGTGGGTCTCATATTTTTTACCTGACTTAACATGACTAGTTACGTCGCCCTTTCCTTCAAGCTCCTCTTATGTTTGCGGTGGTGTTGGTGTGTGGATTAGTGGATATCATGCTTTTGACCTGACCTCATGTTTTGTAAGGTCACCCTGTGTACATAAGCCTCTCTCAGTCCTTGTAATTCAGTTGCCTCTGAAAATGTCTTGAATAAAGATGAAAGCTAAGGTGCTCCATTGTTTCCCTTTTTCCTGTGTGATTTTAATAAGATTTATCTTACCCACATTTCCATTGTGGATCTGCGTGTTATATACAGGTACTCCTCGACTTACGACAACCCGGACATATGACTGCCATGGTCGTATAAAATATTCTTCAAATTATGTACAGTATTTTCTAGTACGTACAGTGATCCCTCGGTTAATGAAATTTCGGTTAACGAATTCCTTTTGAA